ACCCGTGCGGCGCATCTGGAGAACCTTGCTCCCACCACCCGGAGCGACAACGAGCGAATAGGCAAACATGGCTGGCCGCGCTCTCACATGCGTGTCACTGGCAGCTCTCACTAGCTGAGTTTCGGGTGGCACCCCGCTCCCCAAGGCGTCCCGTAAAAGCAAGAGTCCTCTGTAACGCCTCGTGACAATTGCCCCACGGTGGAGGAGATGGTGCTGCAAGCCACCAGGTCAGGGCTTTCTTTATTGTATCTGCCGTGCGTGGTCTCGCGGACACGTCTAGGTTTGGGCGAATCCGACAGACCATGGGCGAGCAAGGGTAAATTCAAAGCTAAAAAGCTAACGGTAATGTCTTGGAGTGCTGGGCGGCGGAGCGCTGGGCCGTATAGGCGTGTATAGAGCAATTGGCCGAATGTCGAAGCGCGCATGCCAATCCCACAGCGTGATACACGTGAGCGCGCTGGAGAGCGGTAATAGTAGCGGCTGTGACCCAGAGGCCTGCTACAACGGTTACGGCTACCCCGACTTTGCATAGCATGCATGTGCGTGTGTAGCCAGTCGGCTGGAGCGAGATGTCGTTCTTGGTCCTTGGGCAAGCGTTCCTTTCTCCACGGGGCTCTAGCCAACCGTCTAGACAGGCGTGTGCGCAAAGGGTCCCCTAGCGCCCTGAGACAACAAGGCAAGGCTGGCTGGCCTGACGTTCCCTTCGGCGCTGATTCAAGCTCCGTCGGCACATGCTTGCGATGCGAACAGCGTTACCCAATGCACAGCAACTCGGGACGACATTGGCAAATGCCTCGCAAATCACCAGAGCCGCAAATGGCGCTACGCATGGCCAACGTTCTGGTCATCATGATGCACGCGCGCTGCACTCCCCTCCCAGTGTGCCTCGCGTAGGTACATACATACAGGCGTAGACCGCGCCGCACCGACATAATCGCTCTATCCTGCAGCGTGCAACCCGAGCGAGAGCATCATTAGGACGTGGCCAGCATCTCGGTCCGGCATCTGTGCCAAGCACTGAAGTCACTACTCGTCCAGTATCAGCCTCAGAGCTGAGCATTCGGATGCATCTGATTCTCAACATTTACAGATGATGACCAACATGCCGATACGACCAAAGTCTCGAACAAGGCCCAGTCATTTGTTCTCCACCCTCGGGGACCCCACAGAGAGGACCTCCACCTTCCGTCATACCAGCAATGGAATGCTCCGCTGACTCAAAACTGACAGAGGCCTTCATTGATAATGAATCAGCCTTGTCCATATCGGCAGTGAATGTTCGGTAGTACAAGTACCGAGAGCGCAGCTAGTTGCACCATCCTTGCTATTGCCCCATTGATTCCAGAATCCAGATTCTTGGTGTCGACCAAAAAAACAACTAGCTTAGGGCGTAGCCCCACGCTGAGACACCAACTGCACCCATGTTATTGTGCAACCGGTGACACCCACATTGATCCCACTCGTGTTCATCAGCTCATCGATGGCGCACTGGGCACCATGGGAGGAAAAGTCTTTAGTCGGGTCTCCCTTCTCTTCTGAAGCTGAGTCGTGAAACTTTTCGCCGCCATCGAGAGCGGTCGACTTTTCATCTTGTTCCCGCCCACACTGCCCCAACACATTCAGGTATCCTGAGGGTAAAAGTTTTTTTCTTCGCTTAGGAGCAGTGTTATAGTCGGCTCATCGTATTCGGTAAATGTGATATCCACTAATAAGCAGAGATGACAAATGCAAAGGCACGACCGTCTCTGCGTGTATATAAGCAGCGGGTAAGTATAACCGTGAGAAAAAAACATTACCTTCATTGTGAAGGCGATTAGAAAGGAGTAGAGAAGCAGGTGAGTGGGACGAAGTAAACATGTCAAGGCGAGAAGGCACTCAGGGTCTTGTAACACTGGCAGGCACGACCTCTTGACCCTTTCCACATGACTCAACTCTACACAGAGGAAGGCGCGAAACCCACAATACCGCAAGGCTCACACCTTCATCGTTATTACAATTCATCATGAGATGATTTGAATCACTCTCGCCATGGTAGGGTGACCTACGTCGAACTCCTTTAAGGTCACCACACTAGATTCTACCGGCAATCTAGCTATTCTTTAGATTATCCTCTAGGCTCATTAAATGCCATCTCTCTCTGTTCGGTCACCATTTCAATGCGTCTAAAACCCGAGGGAATGCCCGCATCATTCAAATTTCCGGCCGTCTATGCTACCAAAGCCATATCTCGGGTATCTCTCGCTCCCACCGCCGATGGAAATTTCTTCACTCAACCATTTTTTGAAGCTTATATCAACAACTCATACTCTCTTCTTCCTCAAAGAAACTATTGCCGTCTGCGTTTCTGGAATGAACATGTCGAGTCTCTAGTCATAGTTCGTACTCTTACCCGGATTCCCGCATGGATGCATGCAGCCTGTGGGTATTCCCGCGTCTATTAATTTTGAGAGCAGAATGAATTCCAGGAGGTAATTTCGCGAGTGAAATAGCTGTAAACAATCTCTACTATCTATTACAATATTGTTCTTACGTTACGATATGATTTACTGTTTAAACTTATCGCAATCATATGTTCTTTCGAGTTTAGGAACAAACTTGTGTTAGTCACTTCATTCTGACGTTTCTTGCTGTCAAATTTGAGTCTCAGCTGACAGCATTCTCAATATCTTCGCATAGTTTCTTCAATAGGATTTATTCTTACGAGCAAAAAATCCAAATTCGCAAGATATTTGATTATCTTACACTGTCACAATCAGCTACAACGAGAACATGTGAATTAATTTGACATGTTTCAGCCGAACCGCAAAAATATACTAGGTATTCAAAGGGAACTATCTCCCGAATTCCTCTAATAGGGTTAGAGGCATTATCAAATTGGACTAGGTAAGTCAGCGATCAACGACATGTCTTATCCCCTATACCTTTGAACTTCATATTTAAATTCGATTTCTATCTTCTTAGGAGAAGCGAATGTGGTTAAAAACTATGGACTATCCTTAAATTTGATATTCTACTTAGAAAAATTAAATTAATTACAGCACTGTATCCTAATTTAACTATATTAACGAAGAAAATCAGATAGTATTAGATATTACAAGGGAGAGATGAGTATACTTGTAAGTTTTACTATAGAGTGTAATGGGCTGAACGCCCTTTGCCTCTCATACTCGTCTACGACCTCGTCTACTCCACCTGCCCGGCCCGATTGTTGCTCTAGCAACTAGTATTGTATATAGATAGCTACGTAGCTGAGAGCTTAGCTCTCTATCGAATACAATCTTGTTACCTTGGCCTGTCTAATTGTGCTTTAGAGCTTAAGACTACCCTACGGGGTTACGCCCATTACATAGAGTATACTTAATTCATTGTTGCAGAGAAGAAGTGCTTCAAGGATGGGTTTCTAAGGTTTCTACTAGGATGTAGCAGAACAGTGAGATGCTGCAGATTAAACAGGGGCCTCCGTGATAGCTTCCTTGGCACACATTTAGATGCTAGGTGGTGGCTGTAGAATGACAGGTCTCCTTTCATTTTTTTCTTGCTGATGGTGCTGCCGGGTGTTGGTCACATATGAGGTGATAATCGTGCGGATGATTAGGACCGAGAGTATTGACAGCATCGCGGTGCTGTAGAACCTTTCAAAAATCCCTCAAGTTTATCCTTCATTTAAAGCCAATTATTTGTCCGTTCATTGTGGTGCCGCGATTAGTCTTGATTGCACATTCGCAGCATAATCATTTTGGACACAGCTGTGATGATGAGCGTGGTACCAGTGCAAACTCGGACGGGAGGTGTTTTTGCGAACGCGCACAAAATCAATATTGCTCTCCTTCATAACCCCAACACATTCCAGTATGGCTGACGCAAGAAAAGCACAGGTAGAAACACGGTCGGAAGAGTAGATCTGCCTTTTGTTGTCATACGTCTAGCGCTGCCAGTAATTGTTGAGGTGTGTCAAACACGCAACCCCACCAACAACCGCAAAACAACGCGTCGACTCGGTGTAACTACTGGGCAACGGAGATAGCTACCACTACGCAGAAAAAAAAACATAACAGATAAATAAGCAGAGAAGCGCTCCTCAACGTCAGAAAGAATTGAGGGATTGGGATCAAGAGGGTGCTGAGAAGAGGATATTGGGTAGAGCTACCTTCTGGGGCGCGTGACACACCCTCACCTGACACATATTACGAGACACGTCATCGACTTGACACGATTGCCAGAGAGGTTGTACACGGGAAGGGATACGCAACGATAGAATTTCTGATAGCTGGTGAGATGAGCCTCACTTTGGTCAGAATTTTGTTTATGTCGAGTATGCTGGGGAAGGGCAATCGGAGTATCTTTGCGCACAAGCGAAACACCACGGAAGGAGGCGGAACGCAGCGCGTAGAATACCCAAACACCACCAAGACTAGCGTAAAGTCAAAACTTTGGATGGCCGAGAACGTTCGGAGTGAGAAACAGATAGACGGTTAGACCGAGAAAAGATGAGGCAGGTAAGGAGACGCGCTCCTACACGGGCGGGCGAGATTGTTGTAGCGTGCATTTGTGTGAGGAATTCGTTAGCTGGGCAAAACTTGAGGCCATGTCGAAGCAGAGGCGGTCAAGATAGAATTAACGTCGATCACTATTGGTACACGCATGGAAAAACAAAAAGCGCTCGACTTTGGGCAGGCGGGCAAAAGTCTGGTCGAGGCAAAAGCTTATGGGTGTAGGGGCAGGTGGACAGAGAGGGACAGAGGGACGAGGGACGAGGGATGAGGGAGGGGTTCAACGCGTGCGCTTCCACGGGCACCGCAACGCGCCCCAACTGGCGTGCTGGATTAGTCTACGAGAGCAAACAAACGAGACGAGATCACCCTGAAGCGCTCTAGGTTGCTGAAGGGGAGGGAGTGTTAGCGCACTTTTTGCGGGTTGGGAAAAAGAGCGCATTTGGATCACACAGGCGCTGAGATTCCTATAAATTGGCCGCCCCCCACTTGCACGCGCGCTCTTGCCCTATCGCAAACCTCCCAACACCATCACAACCTCTCGATCGCTCTTGGTCTTGTCCTGCCCATTTCAAGCTTCAATCACACATCTGCTATCCTGTCCAAATCAATCCACACAATGCCTCCCAAGAAGACCACCACCCCTTCCAAGGCAAAGGCCCCCTCTGCCGCCCCTGCACATGGCTCCTACATCGGTATGTTGTATATCCCCAGCACAGCACCAGCGCAACCTGTATGCGTCCGTCGTCTGTTGCATCATGATCGCCGATAAATGCTAACCTTGTATTGTAGACATGGTAAAGGATGCCATCATCAACGTGAGTCTATCCTCCCAGGCGCATTGCCAGTTCCCCCCGCACCGGGGATTGCGACGCCAGCGCATCACCGCGCAAGGCCCAACACCGCACCTCTTCCACCTTTTGTCCCTTGATGAACATGATTACTAACGTACTCTTTTCACGATACAGCTTAAGGAACGTAATGGATCAAGGTTAGTACATCCATCTCATGTTGATGTTGTTGCTTTCGCGCCGCGTTGTGCTTTTGTCGCAACACGCGCCTGTCAGAATTCTTACTAACTTTTCCTTACAGCCGTCAAGCCATTCAAAAGTACATTCAAGCCAACAACAAGCTCGGCAACCTGAGCGATGCTGCTTTCAGGGGCCACGTCAACCGCGCCATTTCCTCTGGTGAGGAGAAGGGTGACTTTGCGCGTCCCAAGGGTGAGTGCCTATCCTTCCGCCACAACCTAACCTGTGACGCGTTTCTCTAGCGTCGCTCATCACCCATTAACTTGTACATTGCTGACACGTCGCGCAGGCCCATCTGGACCAGTAAAGCTTGCTAAGAAGGAGGCCAAGCCTGCTGCTGCTGCCAAGAAGTCTGAGTCTAAGACTGAGAAGAAGGTCACTGAGAAGAAGACCGAGAAGAAGACTGCCGAAAAGAAGAAGGCCCCTGCCACCAAGAAGGCTGCCAAGGACTCCCCCAAGGATGAGACCAAGGAGGAGAGCGCTACCGTATGTATTATGCTCTTAATTCCAATAGCTAAGGCTGACATGATCTGTAGGAGACTGAGACCACTACCAAGGCTGCCCCCAAGAAGAAGGCTGCAACTGCTCGCCCAAAGAAGGCTGCCGCCACTACCACCAAGGCTGCTGCTCCTGCTGCCGCCAAACCCAAGGCCAATGCCAGCAAGCCCCGCAAGACTGCTGCCGCCAAGCCCGCTGTCGAAGAGGAAGTATCACGCGTTCTCGGCAAGACCAAGTCTGGTCGTGTCACCAAGAGCAAGGCCCCCGCTGCTGAGCCAAAGGCTAAGGCAGCAAAGAAGACCGCCGCACCCAAGAAGAAGGCGACTGAAGAGAAGAAGGAGCCTGCCGCAAAGAAAGCTGCTGCGCCTAAGAAGGCCACCACCCCCAAGAAGAAGACCACACCCAAGAAGGCCACACCAAAGGCTGCCAAGGCATGAGGTTGATTCTTGTCTTTGTTGATGTTGTTTTTCTTTTGAACTGCTTCAGTCATCTGGCATAGAAGCATATGCTAGACTACACCTTCTTCACGGATTCCCTTTTGTCTTGCAATCAGTCTCTGGGTTCTATGGGCGGTCAACAGCGTTAGTACCGGTGGATATGGATGGGAAATGGGCTGGGATGTTCCTTTTTTCTCGCGCTCTTCTTATGTCGAGTATGTTGGCGGGGCGTTTCAGGCGCGTTTGTCTCAGTCTCAGCGCTTCATGTCTGTGTTTTTACCACATCTGTCTTTTTGTTTTCCTTTTTTTCTCACACTCTCACCAGCGCCGCGCTTCTTATGGCGCGTACATATTGAGAGGATAATCGCTACGACGTAACGCTCATCGTCTCAAAGCAATGAAAAAAACCATTACACACTTCAAACATTACGCTGGTCTCTTGTATGTGAAGCAAGTATGTAGATAGTGACGTGTTGTTTTCGTATGCACGCGTCGAGGTTGCGTTCCCCGTGACTTGACCTACGTCACCTGATATGATAAGATAAGGTTAGAGTGCTTGTGTCACCAGCCCAGCCTTGCGCCGCTGGTATAATTGCTACTTGCACTTGCACAACGTCGCTCGTTTACCCAGTAGCACTGGACTCGTCCAAGCGGTATGCGGTATCCAAACAACTGAACCCGACACTCCCTTGAGATAGTAGTCATCACTTATCATGTCACAAGAATATCACATAGATCAAGCAACCAACAGTCTAAAAAATCAGCTAATGAAGCATCATATATGTCTATTCATTTTGTCATATCATATTTAACAGGAGAGAGAAAGAGAGAAAAGGAGGTGTCCTACAGCCTCCACATATGTACAAAAGGACGCACCCGTTCAAAGCATTACCCATTCTTCTATCAACCGTAAACTTTTTTTTGTTCAGGCAAAAGAAAAACAAAAAAAAAGAGCCAGGTATATCGCTTTACTCAGTGTACTTGCACTTGACGGGAGTCCAGTCATTATCGACACGAGCCTGGAACTTTGTGCAGTTCTGGCCGGCAGGGTGCTCGAAGGTATCCATCCAGACCTTGTACTCGCCAGGGGCATTGGAGACGGGGCAAGCCTGAAGACCGGCAACAGGGCCGGTGGGCGAGAACTGGAGCTTGAGGGTGCCGTGGTTGTCGATGAAGAAGCCCTCGCGGAGAGCGTTGCGCGGGAGGGGCTCGACACCCGTGGTGTAGCGGATGTTGCCCTGGCCCATGCCGTCAGCCGCGGTGTAGAATTGCTGGGGCGGGTTGGCGGTGTAGAGGGAGAGCGTGTTGTTGCCGAAGACAAAGGTCGCGTAGTTGTGAGGCTCGGGGCCGCACGAGGCGCCCTGGTCCTTCAGGCCGATGAGCAGGCCGCTGTTGGCGGCTTGCAGGAATTTGCCGTCGAAGTCGGTGCCTGGGGCAATGGCGAGGAGCCTTGAGGTCCAGAAGAGAGGGGTGTCGTCGGCACGGGTCTGGAGGGGGCTGGCAGCCGCGAGAGCAGCGACGCTGGTGGCGATGGCGGCGGTGGTGAACTTCATGATGATGATGGTTGGTGGTGGTGGTGATTGATGATTAAATTATGTAGTTGTTGTTGTTATTGTAGGTGTATGTAGTAGTAGCGAAGGTGGATGTTAGCTGGATGATGGATTTCCAAAGGAGGGACATGTCAGACGGATTATATATACGCAAAGAGCCTCATTCTCCAAGTCCGTCCCACAATGGCCCTGTTGACGCATGGATACACACTATTGAGGATGGAATGAGGTCAATGTGCTCGGCGTATTACCCTCAGTGCTCCCGCATGAGATCATTTGCGAGCCGAACACGAGGCGCATCCCTCCATGTAGGAAACGCGCCACAGCCGGTGCGGGTGCCCTTTAGGGTTCGCACAGGATCAGGGTTGCAAAAAGGCTGCATGTCCGTATTGCTGCGCCTGGGACTATCTAGTGTTCGCATAAAGATCGAATCAAAATCGTAGGCGGTGACGTGGCTGTGGCTAGAGCTAAGGGCCGATTCAATACCCTTGACCGTGAAGAGTTAATCCCCTGCCCCTTCGGTAGTGGTTTCATCCGCCGGGATCGCCCTGTTCGCTCTTTCGCCGGTTGCTGACAAGAATAGAAACACTCCACTGGCCGGTGGGAATTGTTTGGCCGCATTGTCCTTGGCGAAGATCATAATGTCACGCTTGTTGTCGTCTCTCGTGTTCTTTGCTTCTAGCCTACACGTGGATTCCCAAGTAGTCGGACAGCGCATTCTTTTTTTGCCACTTCCAATATATCTCTTCTTCTGTACCAATACAGCACGTCTCGCCAGCTACATGACTCAGTGTCTTCGCACAGAGAGTAGAGGGGGATTTCGTTTCTCACCGCCAGGTTTATCTCCCGTGCCCTGTCAGATACCCACCACCGGGCCTACAGAATCGTGGGAGTGCGTGCTTTCCGAATGTAACGATCATGCACTACTGTAGCACGGCCGCTATCCCAAAGACTAAAGTGTATTTTTACGTCAAATCCACTCATGACATACTATTTGCCACTGCGACCTAACTGTAGCGTCTTGTGATGGAATTCGAATGCTACCCGCTATTGATATGTGCCTCTTTTAGACATTGCTTTGTACTATTGTATGTGACCATCCGTATATGTAGTTGGTACCTTGCCTTTTCTGCAACCAATACATGTCCCCGTGTATATAGTATATACATACATACATTCCAACCTGCACAGCACCAGTATACCATATCAAGCACTACAGTACTTCAAAAAGTCTATGTTGGAAACTTCAAAGCAAGTCGGCTTACGGCTCATGGACTCTGCAAGAAAGTCTGTACTGTTCCTAGTCAAACTATTCTTCGCTTCACCTGCCAATCAGCAGTCGTCTGTCTGCACCTGCGTGTACACATCTACGTAAGTACAGTACTGTACATTGCTTGGTGTATTTACGTAAAATCGAAGCTGAAACGCTCGGCGCTGTGAAGAATAAGCGTACGTAGATTTAAGGAGGAGCTCAGCGCTCTTAGCATCTGTAGCGTGGTATGTCACGTGTCGTCTTGCGAGCTTTGACTCGACCAGCGAATTTCAAATTGCACCTAAGTGGATGTATTTATTCAGAAGAACTGCTTCAATAAAGGGCCTGTATGTATACACATGTTTGCACGTGCAGTAGATGCACACTCACATTGAATTCACTGTGCCTCCGCAAGAGTACCAGTCTCGGAACTATGGTATATCAAAAGGGGCTAAGCTCATCAAGGTAATGCTGACAGTGCTGACAATAAGCTGTCAATTACGTTGTTAGGGAGAGAGAAGTATCGGAAGGTTGGCATGATCCCAGTATATAAGTATTTGCTGGATCACCATGACTAAGGGACAAAGAATATTCCCGCTTCTCTCCTACGTCGGTGTTCGGATAGGTAGGATCTTATTCCGAGAGATTAGGTTTTCGTAAATAACCATACTTTGCGGGCGGATATGTTGTAACATTCGGTCTATTCTCTTTACGTCTCGTCTTCCAGTTGTTTGTTGTAACGTTTTCTCCGAATAAGAAGATACGAGCCTCGAGCGTACATTGAAATAGTGGCGATAGGATACGTTTGCTATGTGCTGCAAGACTTTCGCTTTACATCCAGTGGACTCGTTCTCTGTCTTCCACTTAGATCCTGTTGTTTTCCTAAGCTACTCATTTGAAGATACGCTATACACGAAGAAATATATTAGAGAGGACAGTGCTCACACCTTTTGTAGTAACCACTCTTTGAATGTTTTTCTTACTGAAGCTGTTCGCATTAACTTCATCTAAAAGCCGCTGTAGCCAAGCCATGCTACACTTTACTGCATTATATACCAAAATAGTCTTCAGCATCTAATATGTAATGGCCACTCTTAATAGCAGATAGTATCCAAGTGACTGTCAATGCAAAGAGCGACTAAAACAACCAAGAACCTTGATTTGATTAGTTTCTCGGTGTCCGTCGGTGTCCGTCAGTGTGGCTAAGAATAACCTCGTATCTCTCCCATGAATCAGGGGCTTCTCTATTCAAAATCGAGTCTTATGATCATTTTAGCGCTTTTTTTCGTATCATAGTTGCACCTATTTAAGTCTTCTCCATTGTCGATTGTAATATTTCATCTCTACATCTAATCAACTACTACCTTGTTATAGCAACAGTGCCACGTCCAAGTCAAAATTAATGTTGATGTTTCTTCAAATATGATCATTCTTAACAAAGCGATTGCTGTCAACCTATAAAGTTTTCATGGCCTTCACAATATCACCACTAGTTTCAGCAGATGTATCTTGCGTGTACTTTGAGAACGACACCGACGAAAGGGAAAGGACTCTCACGTGTTGCGAATAGGGCGTGAACGCTAAACATATGGTTTCATGGAATGACAGACTCCTTAATCATACTCGAAGATGTTTACCGTGAATGCTAGTACACATTAATCAGGTACACATATTTCGATCGAGAACGGACGCGCCTCGAATCTGAGAAACCAGGAATGGCAGCCGCTGAGATAGCTTTTCAAGTCATGTCTTTGTTGGCTGTCCTGCTACCATTCCTATGTCGTCAGAGATATGTAGCAACTCATCCTGAATGCGAATCTGATATCCATCTACAAGCACGCAATATCCCGTTACCTTGTACTATAGAAATATCCCGACCATACTACTGAACATCCTGCCATATTATCAAGTTCGAATTCATTGATGAATGCACTTTGTAAGTACTAAAACTCGCCTCGAACGTTGAAGAAAAAAACTACAGAGATTCCTCCATATTACTTATGACGTACAGTATATACCAAATACAAAAGTGAAGGGGAAAGAAGCGCTGCGCCACCATGACGGGGAGAGAGGCAGGCGACGCCGGACCCCGATCTCCGACCTGACTTGCCCCATCTTAGGACTAGCGTAAAATGGGGGATAAGCCTCACTATCAGGTAAGGGTCCAATCACCCCTGACCACATGCATGCCAATCGACGTTCCTTATCGTCCACGCGCGCGTGTCGTCACATGTCGTTGCACCGCCGACCGCCATGAAACGCCCCTCTGACTGGCGGCCGCCCCCCTCAAAGCAAGTATGCACGTAGATCTTGACTTGCTAACACCCAGCACTGACCCCGTCCAGTTCTGCGTGACCTTGTGCCCAGCGTGATGCCTAAATCCCGCGCCTTGACTGGTCGTACCTCTTAACCCTTTCATCTCTCTCTCCCTCTCTCTCTCTCAACATAGCTAAACACCGGTTTCCCTTTCGTCCCAACCCCCCCCTTCATTCATATACAGTAGTCTTTTATTGCTACACTCTTTGTAACGAGCCAGTCGGGTCGCAAGAGACCATACATCGGCTTCTCAGTTGGATCCACACGGCGCATTCGACGCGTACTATTCCCGAGCTACGCGCTATACATATATCCTGCGTAGACTAAACGACCGACCTTCCGTATCGAGGCACAGTCGTTATTTGCCGTCTATCGAATCAGCGACTGTAACGTCAAGTCGTGCAAGCACAACGCCCTGTCTAACGGGAAGGGCTCGTTCCACCAGAAACAAGAAAGCTTGTCGTAGCTTGGTTGCACAGTCGGTAGCCTTAATCTCTACTTTGGACCTTGAGGACTATCCTTGCCAGTAGTAGAAGGTGCCCAATTTAACATACAAGAGGGACAGGAAGAATTAAAAGTGGGAATCATGATCGACACTTTGGTAGATGCAGCGAGGGACGCAGTACATAATGCGGCTGCGTCGTCTGCAAATCTGGCGGCAGAATCGCCAACCATGCCTTCGCTCAGGACTCTAGGCAAGCTCGCCGTCGGCGGCGCGCAGATTATCCTCGGTGGAGGCCAGCGCGTCATGGGTGATTTCACCCAGGCGTGCCCCAATGCGCAACTGAGCTGCCACAACACGACTGCCGTGGAGAATCTATGCTGTTTCAACGCCCCCGGCGGGCAGCTGCTCCAGACACAATTCTGGGATGCATCGCCTGCTACCGGACCAGATGATAGCTGGACGATTCACGGGCTATGGTGCGTTCTGCCTTCCCCCAAACCTCCACACATCCATATACATAATGTACTAACGAATATATCTAAGGCCCGACCGCTGCGACGGCAGCTACGACGCAAGCTGCGACTCTACGCGCTCCTACTCCAACATCAGCGCAATTCTCACCTCCTTCGGCGCCACCGACCTCCTCGCCTACATGTCGACCTACTGGAAAGACTACAAAGGCCACGACGAATCCTTCTGGTACCACGAGTGGGCCAAGCACGGCACCTGCATTTCGACGCTCGAGCCCGAATGCTACACCGAGCACAAGCCCACCGAGGAAGTCGTGGATTTCTTCCAGAAAACCGTCGATCTGTTTAAAACGCTGCCGAGCTATGAGTGGCTCAAAGAAGCAGGCATCACGCCGAGTACCACCCAAACGTACACGTTTGATGCAATTCAAAAGGCTATCCAGGCCAAACGCCCAGATGTCGAGGTCACGCTGGGATGTCGCTCCGGTGCGCTGAACGAGATTTGGTACCACTTTGACGTGCGCGGCAGCGTGCAAACAGGTGAATTCGTGCCGTCGAATCCCGATGGAACAAAGTCTACGTGCCCCAGATCGGGAATCAGGTACTTGCCTAAACACGGTAGTGGGTCGCAGCCTTCTCCCCCTATCATCACGACGACAGTGGCTGGTGGCAATCCGGCGCCGACGGCTGCACCGGGTACCCCGTTTAGCGGGCGGGGCCAGTTGAATGTGCTCGTTAACGGGGCGAATAAGGGATGTATTATTAGTAAGGGGACATGGTACACGACTGGTACTTGTGCCACGTTCTCAGCTACAAAGGTTGGCGAGAATGGGTTTACGCTTTCGAGCTCAAAGGGCAAGTGTGGCATTGTTGGTGGTGCGCTGGCGTGCGGTAACAATGTACGCACTGCGACGGGCTTTAGTAGTGCAGATGGCCTGCTTGCTGCGGGTGGCAATGCCAACTGGAGCGCCGACAAGGTTGCGCACGGAAGCACGCAGCAAAAGGTGTATGCGGGTGGAGATCACTCTGCTACATTTAGCATTTCCTGGCAATCCGTCTAGATGACTGCTTGGATTTCTCTTCTTCTTTACCCTCTCGATAGAATCGCACAAGCGAGCGCAATGCATAGGCACGTATTGAATGAATCAAACAAACTGATTGAGCAAATAATATCTTCTTCATTTTTGTAATGACCGCTGGTTAAGCAGCAATCTGGTCAATGGACCAGCCAGGCCACTTACACGAAAAAGTACTGCTTTTGTCGCCCAAGAGGCTTTCTTTTTTACATGGCACTACTGGTATCTTCCCTTCATTCCCATCTCATGACATCATCAATTCCAAATATCGTACGAGCTGTTGAACACTCCGGTCCGTATTCTTTTGTTGAAACACTGTTGCCCATACCCAAAAAACGCCGTCTTACGCCCTATAACCCCATTTTATTTCACCCTGCCTTTAGACGGGCAGAGGGAAGGTGACAGCCCAGGCGGCAATCTCCTTCTTCAAATCATTGATCTCCTGGACCTCGCCAGAAGCAACCTTGCTCTTGAAGTCCTTGAGCTTGTTGTTCTCTGTGGGAAGCTCGCTCTGGATCTTCTTGCACAGCTTGATGCAAGTGTCAATGTAGTTGGCAATCTTCTTGAAGTCCTCCTCGCCGAGACCACGAGAAGTCATGGCAGGGGCGCCGATACGGATGCCCATGGGTGTAAGAGCGGACTTGTCACCAGGGGTGGTGTTCTTGTTGCAAGCAATGTTTACTTGCTCGAGAACAGCCTCGACACGTGCACCGTCGAGGGAAAAGGGCTTCAGGTCAATGAGAACCATGTGGTTGTCAGTGCCGTCAGTGACGAGCTTGTACCCCATTGACTTGAAAGCAACCTCGAGCGCCTTGGCGTTCTTGATGACTTGCTGTTGGTACTGCTTGAAGTCGTCTGATTGGGCCTGCTTGAGGGCAACAGCCAGCGCAGTGATGGTGTGGTTGTGGGGGCCACCCTGGTGACCAGGGAAGACGGAGAAGTTGATGGGACCCTCAAGGTCGTACAGGGTCTCCTTGCCGGTCTTGGGATCGGTCTTGCGTACACCCTTGCGGAAGAAGATCATGGCACCACGGGGACCACGGAGAGACTTGTGGGTAGTAGTTGTGACAATGTCGCAGTACTCAAAAGGCGACTTGTTGACACCGGCAGCAATGAGACCAGAGATGTGAGCCATGTCCATAAGGAGATAGCAACCGACCTTGTCGGCAATCTCGCGCATGCGCTTGTAGTCAATCTCACGGCAGTAGGCAGAAGTACCGGCGACAAGGACCTTGGGGCGGTACATGAGGGCGTTTTGCTCGAGCTGGTCATAATCGATGAGGCCGGTCTCGAGATTGACGCGATAGGGGAATGTCTCAAAGTATGTGGAAACAGCTGAGATCCTATACGCTGTTAGCTTTCATTCAACATTCAACACGCATGCGCCTGGCTGTGAATACGCACTTCCTCTGGGGTGTTTGGTAGCCATGGCTCAAATGTCCACCGTGGGGCAGGTCAAGACCCATAAGCCTGTCATGAGGCCTCATAATGGCCTGGTAAGCCTGCAGGTTTGCTGGGCTACCGCTCAAGCATTGCACGTTGACACCCCACTTCTCGGGGTCCAAGCGGAAGGTCTCAAGAGCACGCTTTTGGCAGAGGAGCTCGATCGAGTCGATGTGTTCGTTACCGCCGTAGTAACGGGCACCGGGGTATCCCTCGGAGTATTTGTTGGACATAGGTGAGCCGAGCGCATCAAAGACGGCGCGGGAGGTAACGTTCTCCGAGGCGATCAGAAGAATGGATTCACGTTGACGCTGGATTTCCTTCTCCTGTAATAATAGTTAGCAGACTGCTTGAAAGACGGGTTACTGTTGGACTTGCCATGATCTGAGCGACCTCCTGGTCAGTGTCCACCAGGGACTTCTCCATGAGCTGTGGCGAGTTAGCATCGAGCGCATTGTCTTCGGAGCGAGAGGTGACATACGTCCTGGTGGGACTTTGGAAGCGCGTAGTTAGACATGATGTGCGGTAGGATGTGAGAGAATGAAGGAGAGGGGTTGGAGAAAAGAGGGGGAGAAAAAAAGATGAGTAGACGCAGTGCGAGATTTTAAGCTTTTCGACAGTCGGAGTACCTGTAGTCCCATTCATCTAACCCCCACCAATTTTTTGGACGCCGATAGGATGCCCTAGTCTAGTTTGGGTATAGTGCCAACACAACAGTACCTGTGCCGCCGGTCGTCGGAGCGAATCGGACATTCTTTGCGGCGAGAAAAACTGGAAAAAAGTGTCATCGGTGCTGCTTTGTTCATCGGACATTGACTTGATGATGAGAAATGTTCCGTTTTTGGGTCGTAAAAGTCACACTGGGCAGGGTTCTGTAGCCCTGCCCGTTCCCCGCGTTTTGCCCCTCACACCATGCGAAAACATCCCGGATGCGCATCACAAAGGCAATTCTCATGCTGCAGCTGAATTGCGCCAACATAGAATTTCAATCACCCGATAGTTTGTTGAGATTGGACAAACAGCCCTGTATTGTTATCCCGTTACAGATATATCACCCATAATGTGGCTCAAGTTTCTTGATTTGACATGTCCGATTCTCATTCTCTCATTTACTACATAGGTACAATCCATCCCAGCGTCCATTTTGATTTCAATCATTCCTCCTATTCGTTTAACATTTCTCGCTGAGTCTCAACTCGCCTTCGTGGATCAAATCGATCTGATGCAAAAAACCAAACCACTCCAATCCCAACGCCGGGTATGCCACAAAAAATCGTTCTACGCAGCGAACTGCTTTCGCGTCGCAGGAAAAAAAAGGGTATGTAATAACTGAGCAGAAGAAGGAAAAGCCGAATCGGGTCGGCATCGAATTACATAATCGCACCAACAAAATGCTCGTCTTTCGGAAATTATGTTGCGAATACATTCGCAGTCGCGTCAATGCGCTTAGTCATTGTCGGTGAGGCGGTCGAGGACAATGATGCTGAGAATCATGACAAGCAACCCAATGGTTACTATGATGAGCAGCACAAAACCGAACCAACCAAGGACCATGGCAGATGTGCCGACACCAGACTTGACGCTACCGTTGCCGAGATCTTGCACAATTGTTGCAGCTGCGACCGAGGCGGTATGTTGCCATAAGACGGAGACCAGGACGAAGATGGAGGAGATGAAGATGAGAGCGAGAGCGACCTGAGAGACAGGCCTGGAGGGAAATGGCTTGACGTCGACGTCGGATCCAGTGTGCTCGTCTCTCTCCTCGTGCCATCCGGGGAAAGTGGCGAGGAGGATGAAGGTGAAGAAGGCGAGAATGATGGCGACGATGAGCAGATAAGGGAAAACGACGGCATCCTTGAAGGTAGCGGCTACCCACACAAGGTTGAGCGGGTCCTGGTCGACAGACACGTTGTCGACAAGGGCAGTGGCGTTGTTAGAGCAAATGAAACCACCACCATCACGGTTGATGCAAATGCCAAAGTAGCCGACACGAACACCGAGCTGGGCGTTGCCGACGATGTTTGCAATGGCAGCCGTGACACCAGGGTCGACCTGCTCGGGTGCGTAGGTGGGAGTGAATTGTTCGTACCACATGGAGATGAGGAAGATGCCGGGGATGAGGGGAGATGTGGATGAGCATCCTGCCAGTAGCAATGCTGCGGATTGTTAGTTTTGGTTGCATGTAATGTTTCGGTCTTGACGTACAGAGCAATATTATCGCAATGGCGATGAGAATCATGAGAACATGGTGAAACCCAAGAAATGGTATTAACCCTGGGGAGTTGTTAGCTTTGATCCTTTTTTTTTCAATTCTCTTTCGAGTGATCAGAGGAAAACGTACGTTGCATGCTAACGGCGAACCTCAGATTTGCCATTGTGAAGATGTGTGTTCTTCAATTGCCTCTAGTGGGCCTTGTGGTGGTGGTTGGTCTCCCTGCGCCCCCAGAGGGCCGGGTGATGCGAGCGGCGGGATGCACTCAGACGATTGCTGAAGACTGTTACGCTCTCATAAGCGGGTGCTCGAGTGCAAGCGGTGGTGGAGTTGTGTCAAGAGTATAAAAGTTCAATGGAGGTTGGCGGTACTCTTGGCCTAGCCGCTCTTGCAGCGTCGGTCTGGATATGCACTGTGACAACAATGGTCAGATGTCTCTTGTGTAGACAGAAAAAAAGGGTGTGTGAGTGAGTGTAGGAGGTGGGTAGCGTGGAGTGTGACTTCTCTGGATGACTGCAGCAAAAGGTAGTTTTGCTGCTGGGGAAATGGTGAGGTTGGGTGTGTGGCTGGGAGGTGGTTGGAGGCTGCATCAACACGGCGGAAACTGTAGCAACCGCCTGGAACGCCAACGTCATGCCCCGGACCCGGCCCACAACCAATCAACCCGCGCGCTATCGTAGATGGGGATACTGGTTTTCTGCATACGGGCCAGCCGCCGGCGTGTTCCTGCATTAGACCCTCGTGCTTCATGTCGATACCCAGCCTCTGCATTTCCCCCAGCGACGTGGCGGCTTGCGTACGGCATCCGCCTCGGCCCACTCAGCAAGCCAGCGACCGCTCTTTCGCAAGCCCGGCCCCTAGAGTACAAACCCCCCCTTGGGCGCGCCGCAGTGTAGAGAGTGCTGCACGCGACGCGCTCCTTAACAGCGCATACCGCTATTGCTTGGAATCCATTTGTTGAAGTCCGACCGCAGACCAGTGTGTGGCGCTACGCGATAACTAGGCGTGGAGTGGTGTACATTACTCTCTGCTTTTGCGCCCACCGCCTCATGCATTCCACACGTAGTGCTTCGTCCTAACAAAGTCCCCCAGACGCGTCCGACTGCCGGCTGCCGGGGCGTCAAGAGTAGTTACCCGGCGTCCCTGCAGCGCCCATCTGATCTGGAATCGCTTTTCCCACATGGCAGACGCTGCAAATAAGTAAGCAAGCAATGCATGCTGTTAGCTTAAAAATTGGCAGAGGCTTGACCGCGCACCTTGCACGCGGGAACGTGACGGGTGACGTCATCAGAGTTACCGACGCAGGGACCTGTAATCCTACACGCGGAAG